TTGGGGTGGGGCAGAGGGTAGGCTATGGTTGTGCTCAGGCCAGTGGTGGGAAAGCTCAGTATGTGAGCAGCACCTTCCCGGTCCGGCCTGGGCAGCTGTGTGAGGGGTGGAAGGGCCTAACGAAGGGGAAAGGAACAGGAAGGGAGGACCTTGCATCCCTTCACCCCAGGGTTGTGAGGCTCCAGACTTCCACAGCCTCGTTTCCCGCAGAGCACACTACGTACGGATTTCAGAGCACTTCCAGGAAGGAGAGAAATTACACGATTTATAGCAGATCCCTTCATCACAACTCTGTCATTCCCTTCCTAGTGAAAGTCTAAACTTCAACTTCATTTCACAGCTAAGGATGTAACACACACACACACACACACCCATGCAGCATTTATGCTCCAGTTGATAGCAAGGCAGGGATGAGACAGGCCGGGCTGGAGACCATGTTTCGGTACTGGTGTGGTGGAGTTGAGTTGACTTGCACAGTGCGCAGGCTCAGCTGATGCCTGGACAGCAGTCGTCTTCAGCCAGGGACAAGCCATGCCGTTACGTGCAGCAAGAGAAGTGTCAGGAAATTCCAGTTTCAGAGGACGCAGGTTTCCTTGACTCCAGGACTGTTTAAAACAGACCCAGCAGCATGGCCAGAAAAGCAGGTGCTTCACCACAAACGGCAACTGGTTCGATGCCCACCTCGGACAGTCACTCTTTGAAGATAAAATGCCTTGTGTGCACCCCATGCTACTCAGAAGTTTAGGTCAGAGCCAGCCCAGTCAGACACGCCCCGCTGGTCTCTGCAGTCTCCTCCTCCTCTCTGCAAAGACTGCCCAAGCCCGTCCTCTCGTGCCCCGGCCAGGCAGCGCCCCCTCACTGGTCAGGTGGCTGGCTGGTTCTGCGCAGGGCTAATGACAGTCACTGTGGTGCTGTAGGCCAGGCTCTGTGCGGGTCCATCACGGTCTCGCTCGCTCTGCCCGGCAGCCTGCCCAGCGTCCGCACAGGTCCCCCAGGTTTGCAAAAGTGAACTCTGAGTACAGGCTGACCTGAGTCTTCACTCAGGGCTCACACTGTCGCTGTGCAGGATGTATCTTTTCTTGTCGAGGACGCAGATCACCTTGCCTCCACTTCTTTCTGTACGTTCTGCCCACATTGAGGAGATCGGCCCTTTGATACGTCCCAGTTCTTTTTAGGAGGCATGTCTTTTGCCCCTTTAGAAATGCTAATGTTTCCCCTTTTTTGGCCTGTGGATATTTTTGTTTTCCACTAGATGAATTATTTTTAAAAACATGTTATTGGTATATATTTGCAATGCATGATAATTACATTTGTTTTGGGGAATTGGTACATATATCCATATCTGTGTCAGTGTATCCGTCACACACACATCCTTTATATCTGTATATCTATATCATGTATATCTCATATAAACATATCTTGATCATTTTCTTTTCTTTTGGTATTGGGCGTCAAACTCGGGTCCTTGCACTCTCGAGGCAGGCGGTGGGACCGCTGAGCTAAACCCCTGGCCCATATCTTGATCATTTTCAATCCCCTTCTTTCCCATTACCCAAAAATCTGCCTCCTTACTTCTTAGCATCTGTCCTTCATTTTATTCTTCATTGTGTTTGTACCTTGGGTTTCGCATATAAGAGAAGACCATGCAGTATTTAACCTTTTGCATCTGATGAAGGAATTCTTACATGGCTTTTGTGAACAGGACCTTCACCTTTTTCATTCTACAAAATTCTCAGTTGAGTTTCCATCCCTCTTACTTTTCTGAGGCCGAGAGTAAATAAATTCTAGGAGAGAAGACAAGATCTGAAGGCACCAGACAGAGAAGGCCTTGCTAGGCAGAGCAGGACCCTGAGCATCTGTCTTAGCTCCTTTTCTCATTGCTGAGATGAAATTCCTGATATCCAGAGTTAACGGAGGAAAGTTTTATTGTAGCTCACAGTTTGCGGGGCTTTTAGTTCATAGCCAGCTGACTCCAAGGCAGGGTGGCGTGGCAGGGGGACATCGCAGAGGAGAACAATTCATAGAAAGCAGGAGGCAGCAAAGCAGCAGGAAGCCTTCTTTCTGTCCCTTCTGTTCGACACCTGGGCTGGCCTACCCTTAATCCTAGCATCACATGCCCTAGATCCAGGCACCTCTGAAAAAGCCCCACCTATGACCACACGAGACTTTGGAAGGACATCTAGATACAAGCCGTAACAGGATCCCAGGGTGTATGTGGCAAGGAGAGCCTGGTGGTTTGTTACTTTCTTCCCTACCCCTGTGGAGGTCCTTGCATAGAACAAGAAAGACCTTGCATCCTGGGCCCTGACAAGCAGAGTCCTGGGGTATTTGCCGGTCATTTGCTTATGTCAAATACCTTTGCTTCCTAAATGGTACCAGGGTGCTCTGAAGTTATCCCAGGATGACACAGCTGTCGGAGATGCCTGGTGCTTCTGATGTGAAGTCTGGCAGATAATTAAAATAGAGGTGATTACAGAGTAATTCTTAAAAAAGCCCTCGCTAGGGGCTGGAGATTTAGCTCAGTGGTGCCGCTGCCTGCCTCACAGGCACAAGGATCTGAGTTTAATCCCCGGTACCAAAAAACAAAAAAAAAAACACCTCACTTTTGGCGAAGACTTTTGCTCTGTGGCCTGATGGTGTGGCCTTTATAGGACTCATGAATCAGCTGCCCGCTGTGGGACAGCAGCAGCCCCAGGACACTGAGGCAGGTGGAATGGCCCTTTCTTGTTTCCTTGTCCTCTTCCAATGCTCTCTGCTCACCCTTGTCCACTCCTAATTTCCCAGCTGGTTTGGCCTGGATTCTTAGTTACTTTTTCCATCTGTGGCAAAATAGCAAGATCTTCGATCCACAGTTGGAGTGACAGCAGTGTCCTTCTGCCATGCAGGATAAAATCACCTTTATTTTGGAGCACAGATATCACCTGTTAATGTCACCACTGCCTGCAAATGCCTGCCACTGATGTATGCTGCTACCTAATAAACTCTGTTAAGAGGAGAATACTGGTGTTTCTTCATAGCTTCTGAGTAGTGTTCTTGTGTAGGTTTTAATAGTAATGCACTCTAAACTAGCGACATGTCACCTTGGTCCCAGAGATCTTTGATGTTGCCTAATGCTACATTAATGCAGCTAGTGATTTGTAGGTGTGGGGTTGTTGGGATTGAACTCAGGACCTTTGTTGTGAGTTACATCCCCAGCCCTTTTATTATTTTTACATTTTCAGACAGGGTCTTGCTAAGTCACTAAGTTGCCTAGGCTGGGCTAGAGCTTGCAGTCCTCCTGCCTTAGTCTCCCAGAGTGCTGGGATTACAGACAAGGACCACTATGCCTGGCTTAATAATTATTTTTAAAGGCTGATATTCTGAAGCCTCTTTGCATATTGTAGAACGGTTTAAATGCTATCTGATATCTTTGGTAGCTGTCATCTGCCGGCAGCATCAAGGATTTCCTTAAGACAAGTACCAAAGATATTGGTAGCTCTCTGATCTAAAATTGCATAGAAACTTCTTCCGTCACAAGCTGCCGAAGCAGCCCAGGCGCCCGTCTGCTGCTCCCCAAGACCTCCTGCTGAAGGTGTAGTGTTGCTCTTCCCTGTTACTGGTTCCCACTGCTGAAGAGTCACCTATCACAGTTACTTGTGTTGGCAGCAAATTGAGCCCTCACATGGGCCGGGCAGAAGGCAGAGCAACCTATTGCTGAATGGCCGGAGGAAATGGCCCTGGCCCAGTGAGAGCAGCTGAAGGTACCTGCTGCCCGGCTCGCACTACTGGTGCGGTGGCTGCACATCTTCCTGGCACAGGCAGGACCATCTGTGCCAGTGCTGGACTGTACCCTCGGCCCCTCACCTCTGCAGCACCAAAGCTCAGCTTCATGGGTGCATCGCCCGCCCAGGGGTGCCTGCTGTGGACTGCCGCCTTCTCTACCTTGTGGTTGGCCTAGGGGCTCTTTCGTGGTTCCTATGGCCGTTCCCTCTTCTGTCTTAAGCACCCCTTCTCAGTTACAGTTGGTTGTGCTGGGTGCAAGGGACTGAGTCTCTGGCGCAGTTCAGACCTCAGTGCAGAAGAGAGGCTGGGGGCACAGAGCGGTCACTCGTGACCGGACCCTGCCGAGCCTCAGACCTCCTGCTCTTGGCCCTGGCCCCAGACCCAGGGGATGCCCTTCCTACATTCTGTGGTCTTCGAGCACTGAAGCACTTTCCTTTTCCCTCCATTTTGTTTACATAAACATTGCCTCTTAGGTGAGCAGAGTTAGAATTCTCTGTGTGGTAGAAATGTAAAATCGGGAGCAGCGATCATAAAATATTAGAAGTGGGACACCCGGGAAGGAGTGTGTGCTGGCTCCGGTTGTGATGAGCAGTGGTGTCCTCAGCGATTCTCCTTTTTTGGGGGGGATCGAATTCGGGCCCTTGCCCTTGTGAGGCTGGCGGCAGAACCACTGAGCCAAATTCCTGGCCCTCCTCAGTAATTCTTAAAACGAAAGTAGCATTAGGTATTCTTAAAACTAAAAACTCTTTTCTGCGGGGAAGCTGTGCTGTGTTCCCTTGGCTCAGGAACCCTTAGCGTATGTAGTACTGAGCGGCTGGGCTGCTGGACCCCTCACGTGGTGTTTGGTGCTTGTATGGGCAGAGCCGTGGGGAGTTCAGGTCCAGACTTCACTTTCGAGGGCGATGGCAGCTCTTTTGAGGGTGCTGTGTAATCCTCATTCTTTTCTGCAAATGTCAAGTTGAAACTTGGTTACTTTAAATGCCTTCTTCCAGTTATTTCGCAGACCCGGCATGCGTGACTAAATTTTCCTTCTGTGTGGCCTTCAGTGGTATCTGCTGGCCACTGCCTGCCACGCATTGTTTGTTGATCCTTCCTGAGGGGTCACCCTTCCTGGACTACTACTTTTGCATTTGCAAAATGCTCGGAATTAATATTCCTCAACAACCTGCCAGGCCCGTGAGCGCGCACTGAAGGTAGCAGAACACGCATCCCGTGACACTGTCCATTTCTGCTTGCAGAGTCCGGCTAGTAGAAAGAGGATCTCCTCATAGCCTGCCCCTGATGGAGTCGGGAAAAGTAAGTGTTAAAGGAAGAAGCTGCGTCTCTGTATTAGCGTGTGTGGGTGCTGAAATGAACGGTAAAGCTGGGAAATAGAAGCATTTACTACTGCATGCAGTCACCAGGACCCCTGGTGCCTTCTGTCTCTACAAGGCCTCTGTTTGAAAAGGTACTTCTGAGTCCATTGTGGCTGTTCAGCCCAAGACATCATTTCTATGTTCCTTCTAGCAGGGGAAGAGAAAAGGAGGGGACAGAATTTGCAAATTATAAGGAAGGTTCCAAAGTTGTCTTACACTTCAATACCTTTTGCTGGAATCTAGTCACATAATCATACCCAGCTAAAAGGAGGGCTGTAAATCTGTTGAGTATCTATGAGCCTACTTAAAAACCAGAGTATCTCCTACTGTGGAAGTGGGTAGACCTGGAACAGTTATCGGGGGCAGCTGCTTCTGCACAGAACTGAAGGGCAGGAAGTACATGTAATGAAGAGCTTGCTTTTTACCCTTTTGGGCCCAGTTGCCAGTTGCTTTTGGAAGTAACCAGAAATTCCCATTTTGTGAGTGTCACCTTTATTAAATGTTTCATCATTTATCGTGTTTTGGTTCAAAATTCTTTTTTAATGATTTTCAGATCTGGTTTCTTTCCCCAGCTTTATTGAGATAAGGATTGACAGAATTCTTTCCTTTAACGTTACTGTAAATATATCGTCGTGTAATTAGAGCAAAATATACTTTTAATGACATATGCAGAGTGTGTATGCTGCTAGGGATGGAACCCAGGGCCTCCCTTAACTCTAGACAAGAGAGCTTTACCTCTGAGCCATGCCTTTAGCCCTTGGCACATACTTTTGATGCCATTCTACTTCCTGGATAATCTTTGGAAGGGTAGTAGCTTTCTGGAGAGACTATACTGGGTTCGTGTGTTATCTTTTTTCCTCTGTTACTACCCATCGTCAAGTTGTCTCCTTTCCCAAACAGATACTTCCTGGGGTTCGGATCATCATTGCCAATCCTGAAACAAAAGGACCCCTGGGGGACTCGCACCTGGGAGAGGTGAGTTCTGGTGTCCGCTGTGAGAGGTTTCCGTCTAGAACAAACCTGCCTTCCTGTCCCTTAGCCCTGCTTAGAGACCCATGCCGTGGGACACAGTGCCGCTCTCAAGTCATAATGGGCTGGGAAGTAGCTCAAGATAAGCTCTGTTGCTTAAATGAGTTCATGAAAGTTCAGAATTACAGAATGGGGTGTTGTATGATGGATTCTCCTCAGAGAATTGTCAACTGTGTATCCTCACCTTTTAGCTCTTGAGTTTGTCTTCCATTTACCTGCCTTCATTACTAAGAGTCCTCAGGAAAGTGACAGAGGAAGATAAAAGGAGAGCAGTGCCACACCGCACAGGCATGGCAGCACTAGATGGACTTTAACAGAATTGAAAATGGCAGTAATGTGCACTCACTTCTGACCAGAAAGCAGGCAGTAGGATTTTACAGCTTTGCTCCATTATGCTCATGATGCAGCCCAGCTGGGCTGCACCTAACTCCCTGCTGCTGGTTCCACACGCTATGGCTGCTTGGGGCTGCAGGAAAACCCCTCACTGTACAGCCTGGCTTCCATCTTGAATTCTCTCTCACAGCCCCTGGGCTGCATACTGCTGGGTCCTGCGCGGTGACTCCAGGTACCTCCCACCTCATCTGTAACTTCTGTTCATTCTTCTGTCTGCTGATGGACATACTTCTTCCCCAGAGGAAGGAGAGGGTCTCAGTACCCAGCCGGAATGCCACATTGTGTGGCATCAACACATTTCCCTTCCCTCCCATTATGCACCTGAGATGGTCCTCTGCGGAAGACCCCACCACTCAGCCAAGGTGTCTGTTAAAGTTGCCCCTGCCCTGAAATGAACAGACATTTCTCAGACAAAGTAGTAAAAACAGCAACGAAACATGTGAAAAAATGTTCAACTTCACCGGTCATTCCAGCGATGCAGATGAAAAACAACACTGAGATTCCACCTCACCCCGGAAAGAATGGCTGCTATCCAGAAATCAGCCAATAACAAATGCTGGCGGGGCTCTGTGAGGAGAGACGAACCCTTCTTCATTGTTGGTGGGAGAGAGTGCAGACTGCTGCATCCACTGAGGAAATCAATAAGGAGATACCTTAAACAAGTAGGACTGGAGATCCCATTTGACCCAGCTATCCCTCGGCTGGGTATCTTCCCAAAAGAATTAAAAGACTCATACCACTGTGATATATGCTCACCCATGTTTATAGCACCACAGTTTTTAATAGCTAAAGCTTGGAAACAACCCAATTGCCCATCAGTTGGAGGCTGGATAAAGAAGATGTGGGTTTTTTGTTTTTGTTTTTTTTAATAAAATGGAGTACTACTCGGCCATAAAGAATGAGAAACTAGAGACATTTATAGGAAAATGGATGCACATTGAGGCCATACTCTTAGGGAAATAAACAGGACACACAATGTGTAAATACCAAATAGTTTCTCCAGTGTGGTATTTATGATGTTTCTGTGTGTGTTTGTATTATGAAATGACCACTACGGTCAAGTTAGTTAACATATCTGCCACTTCATAAAGTTACTTCTTTTTTGGCATGTGTTGAGAACATTTAGACTGTACTCTCATATCAGATTTTGGGTAAACCATCATGGTCACCATGCCATGCACTGGATCCCCAAAACTTACTCCTTTCATGGCTGAGGGTTTGCACCTCTGGCCAGCATCTGTCCTTTTCCCAACCCATTCCCAGGACCCAGTAACTGTTGCTTTATGGTTTCTATAATCTCTACTTTTAATATTCCACTTAAAAAGTGAGATCAGGTTGGTCATGGTGATAACATGCCTGTAATCCCAGCCCTCTGGGAGGTTAAGGCAGGAAAATTTCAGGATCAAGCCTAGCCTGCACAATTTAGCAATTTCACAAGAACCTGTCTCAATTAAAAATTTTTAGAAGGCTGAGAATATAGCTCAGAGTAAAAGCCCTAGGTTCAATCTCCAGTGCAACCAAAAAAAAAAGGCAAGATCATTTAGCATTTGTCTGAATTAGTTTATATAATATCCTGCAGGTTCATCCATGTTGACAGAAATGGCAGGATTTCCTTTTTAATGCTAAATAGTATTCCATTGGGTTAACCAGGAACTTTTTGGTTTGGAAGAACGGAGAAAAATTATCATTACCTTTACTTGATGGTACACCTTTCTCTATTTCATTTTTCATGTTTTAGCAGGGATTTACTAACACCTGCTGTGTGCCAGCCATTTTTATGGGGGCCAGGGATTCAATGGTCAGCAAGACATGTTTTTACTTCAAGGAACATGGCCACTTTTCAGTGTAAATGAAATGAAAGCAGCCACATTAGTCACTTTCCCGTTGCCTGGACAAAGTACCTGATGTCCACAACTTTTTTTTTTTTTTGGTACCAGGCGTCAAACTCGGGACCTTGCACTTGTGAGGCAGGTGCAGTGCCACTGAGCTAATCCCTGGCCATGACACCTACAACTTAAAAGGAGGGATTTGTTTTGGCTCACAGTTTCCAAAGGCTCTGTCCATGGTTGACTGGCAGGAGGGGCATGACAGAGGGTCTGGTGGGGGAAAGATGCTCAACCCCGTGGGATCCAGGAAGCCGAGAAGAAGGGAGGAAGCAGGGGTAGAATACATCCCACCCAGCGACTCATCCTCTAACCAGGCCCGGATTTCCAGCCCCAGATTCAGCTACTGAAATCAGCAGGGGGCTGATTAGTCCTCTGATGAGCATTGCACCCCCACCACCCAGTCACCTTCTAAAACTCCACTTCTCAACACTGATGCTTTGGAGGAACATTTTAGATCCAAGCCATACCAGTAGCCAGTCCCGGAGTGTCTTAGCCAGGAATACTGCACAGTCTGAAAGACCCTGGTGTGCCTGCTCCTCTTGGGTAGGCATTGATGCAGGTAGGGTGTGAGAATCTTTAGGACTTTATTGACGTGACTGTTTGGCCTTTTCCCTTTTCTACATAAAAGACGTCTTCACTATGAGTCCATCTGTCTTTAGCCATTTCCTCAAATGCCAGACTGTCAAGCATTTCTGTTTCCTGTCTTTTAATGTCCCTGCCTTCCTCCCTTAGGTTTTGTTTTGTGCTGTATTGTCTTGTGATCTACTTGTTAAAGTGTGCTGACCAGGTAAAAGGGAAAAAAATCTTAAAGCTTTTTATCATTTTCCCCAATTGTTCTTTAGAAACAGTTACGTTTGGAAAAGCCCAAGGAAACTACTATACTACAGTATGACTGTTCATTCATTATGTCTGTCTTTAAGAACTGTTTTACATTTTTTCAGTTAATCTGTGTCATGCGATTTTGGGTAGATGGAAGGCTTGGTTGCTGGTTCAGCCATGTCTTGGTATAGTGATTGCCTTTTTTCAGGGAACTCTGGGGGCATCTGTGTGCCTCCTTGCACATCTGAGTGACATTAGCATTGTCTTGCTTGTTCAGACCAAGGAAGCTTCTAGTATGACTGGATACAACTTGTTGAATTGTAAAATAGTTTTAGCCTCTCCTCCCTGTAGTCTCCAGCCAGCCCATCCATAAAGATATTTTATTCTCTTCGCAGATCTGGGTTCACAGCGCGCACAACGCCAGTGGTTATTTTACCATTTATGGAGATGAATCCCTGCAGTCAGATCACTTCAACTCTCGGTTAAGTTTTGGAGACACGCAGACCATCTGGGCGCGGACGGGCTACCTGGGGTTCCTGAGGAGAACCGAGCTCACAGATGCAAATGGAGGTGAGTCCAGCCCCTCACACAGACCCTGAAACAGTCTGAGGTTTGGGACAGCCAGATCCAGGAGGGGTGTGTGTGTGTGCACGCGCACGCGTGTGTGTGTGCACCTTCTATACCCAGCCTGGACACAGCAGAGCTTAACAGAGGAAAAAGGCAGATGTGCCCTCTACCCTGAATCCTCCTGAGAACCGAGAGCAGACTGAACGCCAGAGAGGAGCCAGCTCCAAGCACAGGCTGCGTGTTTCTGTGATAAAGTGCCCAGAACTTCGGCCACTTGCTCAGGGCTGCCCTCCAGCTCCAGACCCATCTGAAATGCACTGGACCAGCAGCTGCAGAGACGTGCACGCTCTCCTGCTGGGACCGTATCTGAGCCTGTCCAGGATGGAATGACCCTGGAACCCATCTCTCTCTCTCTCTCTCTGCTCCCCCAGAGCATGGGGCCTGGCCTGGTGTGGAGTCACAAGTGGGCAGCTTTTCCTGTTTAGCCATGACACTAAGAAGAGCACATGTGATCGAGTCAGAGGACCAGTGGAGTGTGGCTATATCCTGTGTGCCTTGGACAGCTGAAACCATTGACTCCTTAGTGGGTGCTGGTTGTTCAGTAGTAGCTAATGTTAAGTTGGTGCCTTAGTCACAGCTGATGCAGGTGTGATCATGTAGGCGACAGTATGCAGAAAGTGACTCGAAAAGTGTGACTTTCCCCTGGTGGACAGAGCTCGCCAGGGGAGAGGAGGACGTTAGAGAGACTGCAGTGGCTGTGCATGGCCCCAGGGACGCAGACTTCCCAGGGCCAGTCAGCTGTCAGTCCACAGCACCAGTGAGGAGAGAACCAGCTGTGCCTGATGCTGGGATCGCATTGCTTTGCATCTGTCTCGCTTAGTGGTCATTAAAAAAAAAGCCCGCAGAGTGGCGTGGACTCATCTCGGCCCTCCGGCAGGCTGAGGCGGAGGGTCACAAATTTGGGTCCAATGTACATGACTTAGTACCCTGTCTCAAAACAGAAAATCAAATAGGGCCAGGGATGTAATTCAGTGGAGAGGTCCTGAGTTCGATGCCCAGTATTGCAAAAGAGAGGAAAGCAGGCCAGGGATTAACTCGGTGCTGCTGCCACCTGCCTCACAAGTGCAAGGCCCCGAGTTTGATCCCCGGTACCAAAAAGAGAAACAAGTGAACAGGCAGCTTGGTTAGCATGGCAGCGAAGCTCACGCATGTGGTTTGCCTCCCCACAGAGCGCCATGATGCCCTGTATGTGGTGGGGGCACTGGACGAAGCCATGGAGCTGCGAGGGATGAGGTACCACCCCATAGACATCGAGACCTCGGTCATCAGAGCCCACAAAAGTGTCACAGAATGGTAAGCGGGGCAGGCGCATCTGGACGTATCGGGAGCGGCGCTTGGGAAGCCTTGCCCTGGGCGGGTGCCATGCCCAGCGGGGGTTGGCCGAGCCTCGTCAAGGTGCATGTTCACCTTGAGGGCTAGCACTGAGGCGTCCTTGCACAGGTGAAGTCTCCTGTGCTTTAATAAGAAACGTACCGCCATGAAAATGCTTTCTAATGCTTCCCAGGAAGCAAGTTGTTCTTTGTTTTGTTAATTTATGGAGATGTATAGGAGGGAAAAGCTTCACAGATACACATGGATGCAGAAAGTCTTGGCTTGGGAACTGTAAAATGTAATGCGCTCTCTGGGAAAACATAAGGCGAGAAGAGAGGAGCCTTCTGGCCAGGCTTCACCGAGGCCTGCAGGGCCAAGTGGCTGGCGTTGAACCGAGCTGAGGAGGAGGCGGTCCTGCTGCCTAGTAGGCGAGGGCCCCAGTGAGGACGTGGGTTCCTAGCTTCTCAGGCGGGCGTGCCTTCTCTGGCCTGTTTATTCCGCTGTGAAGTGCAGAGTGTACTCATGGTACTTCAGCAAGAGGCCAGCAGTGAGGACATATCGTCAGCCAGTGCTAGATGGTCACAGGCCGGCTCGGTGTCTTTATGCTTCTTCGGGCATGAAAAGTGACTGGATGCCATTAGTTGTGGGTTTGTTTGCTCCTTTGGCGATAGGCAAGGAGGGCCCTGTGCCCCTGGCTGGGCAAAGACTCTGATGGAACGTTCTAGCTAGGAGGGGTCAGGATGCAGTGCAGGCTGGCCTGTGTTGTGAGCAATGGATTGGTTCAGACGTTGTCTGTCCCTCTTGGCAGCTGATTGGTTTGTAACAGCAGCCTGATCAGTGAGCAGCTGGCACAGGATGCAGTTTGCCTGCCTCTGGTCACTCCCAGACAAACTCAAATGAGAAGAGTGAGCCAAGCGCAGTGTACACCTGTCCTTCCAGCTCGCCGAGGCCGAGACAGGTGTGAGGCTGGACAGTGGATGAAAACCAAGAAAACAGAGACATTAGAAAGCGATCAGCCCAGAAATGGACATAGGGCCTCATTTTCTACTTACGTAGCTGTACATGTTAGTTAGAGCCTTCCAGTTTTCTGTTTCTAAGAGAATTGCGTTCGTTGTCTTTTATCATCTCCCTCAAGCATTTTCTACTTAGGTTCCCCTTAAAGTGAGTGCAGAGGAGCCTTCCTGCTTCCCTTCTGGCTTTCTAAGCATCACCCTTGGCCCTGGCCGTGTGGCCACAGACCTGAGTATGTTCGGGCCAGGGCCCCCCACCCCTACTCACACACAGACCAGGGTGAAGAGAGGGGATGAGGGATGAATGGGTTTTATGCGGGTGGATTTTGAACACGTTGGAAACGACTGAGCACAAACTGCCTGTCCTCCGTCCCGCGCCCTCCCTGGTCTCTCCAGCCTTCTCCCACCCCAGTGGTTGCTTCACACCAAGAAGCCTGTGCCATGGAATGGGCCCATTTCCATGGTGCCAAATTCAAGCCCACCAAGTTATCCGGTTTTCTCCAGTGGGTTTTCAGAGTCACAGCGGTGCTGCCCCTAGGAAGGCTCTGATGGAGGGTGGGTGTCCTGCCTCCATCCCAAGGCTTCCTGGCACACCCAGCATGACAGCACTGTGTTCACACTCGACTTGCTGCATCACCTGTGCGCAGCCGAGCTGACACCTGATCCTCGGGACCAAATGCCGCAATACACTTGGACCATAGATGCCTGGAACTTGTGTGTATACTCTGATGTCACAGTCTCACCATGTGGGCTTGTGTGGGACACGTGTAACATTATTGCGGTGTCACAGGATACCCTGTTTAGGAGCTTTAAACACCAGCACGTCGTCTTCAAAATAATTCTCAGCAGACCATTTCCTTCTGAGTTCAGCAGTCAGGATGTAAAACTCAGGAGAGAACTTCTGAACACACTCTACAGTCTTTTAGTGTGTGGACTGTCTGTACTGAGTAGAACACTTGTCTCTTTCTGGTTGACTTACTCTTCATGCTTACAGAAAACAAGAGTTTCTCAAAATGTATTCTGCCTTGAACTGGGGGGGACCCCTGATCAGGTGGGGAAGAGCAGACGCCCACAGCCTGCACCTGTCCGTTGAAGAGGCCCTCAACCAAGGAACGTTCTCCTTGCAGGTCTCCTACTCGGTGCAGCAGCAGCCTGCCCATGCGCGCACACACATGCACACACACGCGCACACACATGCGCGCACACATATGTATCAGGAGCCTCCAGAGCCTTATCCTGTTCACTGTGTTGCCCTCCCTGCTCAAGAATCTTCCAGCCCCGTTGCCAAGCAGACATCATATACCAGCATCTGTGAATTTCAGGATCCTTGCACGATGAGTTCTAAAAGTCAAAGTGAATGTATTCAAAGCACTGCATTATGCCGTTACCGACTGGGAAACCTGAATATTCTGAGGCCCTTCCTGCCGAAAAATGACTGTGCCAAATAAATCGTGCCCTGTGTGTGTTTTTGCTGTGGACCTGTCATCTCCAAACTCAGTGTCAGTACACAATATTGACTGTGAGCTCTGGGCCAGTGGCTCTTCTCCTCGAGGGCCAGCCCCGGCACATCCCACCCTGGAAATGGCAGAGGCCTAAGCCCAAACACAACAGTACTTCTTGAGCCTCTGCTGGCCTCGCCCTGGTCCCCTGCACTGACCAGATTCAGTGCTGGATCTGAGGACAGGAAGTAGGGGACGTTAAGGCACAGTGCACACATTCTGGGAGGGCAAGGAAAGGAGCATCCTGCCGCCATGTGCACGCCCCTCAGCAGAGTCTGGAAGCTGAAACGGAGGTACAGGTCCCCCTGAGGGCAGATGCTGGTAGCACCCTGCATCCTGAGACAAGGTCTGTCCTCGGGAGCGGTGAGGAGGCGCAGCAAACCGCGCTGTAGAAGGAGAGTTGCAAGATCAGGAGACACGCTCCGAAGCCGCCGCGGGAGAAGGCCCATCCAAAAAGGAGCTGCGTGTTCGCCGGAGAGGCCGTGTCCAGACGGTCTGCACAGCAGGACCGACCCCGGAGGGAGCAGCCGGCCAGAAGACACTGTCGAGAGTGCTCAAGCAGATCCAAACTGAGCCAGACAGAAGTTTTTCAAAAAGAAAACATAATCTTGAAATTAAAGATTTGCCAAATAATGATAGTTTCCCTTTTCTATCTTCCAGCGCTGTGTTCACCTGGACAAATTTGCTGGTGGTTGTGGTGGAGCTTGATGGGTCAGAACAAGAAGCCTTGGACCTGGTTCCGCTGGTGACCAACGTGGTCCTGGAAGAGCACTACCTGATTGTGGGCGTCGTGGTCGTGGTGGACATCGGGGTCATTCCCATCAACTCCCGCGGGGAGAAACAGCGCATGCACCTCCGGGATGGGTTTTTGGCAGACCAGCTGGACCCCATCTATGTGGCCTACAACATGTAGACTCGTCTCTGGCTTCCCCAGACTCCTCCGGGGATGTAAACCTTGCTCTCGGAGTCCACTGAACCATGCACACGCAAGGGCCACAGTCGCCAGCTCGGAGCCTGTTGTGGGATCGGGGGAGGACGACGTCACACAGCAGTCACCCTGGTGCGGAGATGAGATGTGAATTCACTGCTGGACCGTGCTCAGAAGGACTTTGGGTTACGCCTTCACTCTGTTGGAAAAGCTCATTTCAAAAACTTCTTTCTTCCTTTTTTTTTTAATTATTGGATAATAAGTGCTCTCTTCGTAAATGTGGTATTTTGTTAAGCCGAAATAGCAATTAAAAAATACTCTGCCCTCCAGATGGGTTCTTTTAAACAATTTATGTAGTGTGACAAAGAATTGTTTTCTCTGTTTTAATGTGTCATGAAATCTTAATGACATGGATCTGTTACTAATTTAAGCCATTGCTAGATCTTACCCTTCTGGAACATGTATTGAGGTACGAGAAAACCATCCAGATAGCACTGTCCCGTTAGATTTTAGCAGCTTTCTTTGTCAGAAATGTGCTGAAGAGACAAAGGCCAATCTATGGCCTTTGAAGTTAGCGTAGGATGAGAAGAAATTATAAATAAGGTGTATTTCGGCAGTTATCTTGCAAATATCTTTGTACTAAACTAAAAAGATAAAAATAAGTTAACTTCCTCAATATGTAATTATGTACAAAATGTTTAATTTATTTTGATCTCTTTAGAAGTATAAAAGAGAAAAAACATTCAAGAATATTAAAGTCTTGTAATGTTTGCTAATATAAAAAAGTGTTGTATTATCTTGCGTGGATAGTATCACAACAAATATATATATATGAAATATAAATTCACTAATGAAAAACAGGAGATTTTAAAGTTTAAATGCAGAACTTGTCACTTGCATGGTGCACCCTCCACTGAACTCACTCAACGCTGCTGTCGCGAGCAATCACAGATGCCAGTAGCCCCGTCTCGGAGTTTCTTCTAGAGCCAGAGGCCGGCAGGTGGGATCACTGCCACCTCAGCAATGGTGAAGGGATTTTAAGCTCAGTGTGCACTAATTTTTCCTTCGCTGTGCTGACGTCAGTGAATGCATTAACACCAGCTTGTGCTGATGCCGCGCAGGGGGCGCCAGGCTGGCAAAGATCACTTGTTTCCTTAGCTGCAAGAATTCTCTGTACCACGTTTTTCAGCCTTATAGTGTCACCTTTTTTGGTCATTGGTATGACAAGAGATGCTATTCTGTGGCCACCCCCACCCCAGGTTGCATTTATTCCCCCTCAGATGGTCACTGCGTGCGTGGACAGAAAGTCCAGACAGCTTTAAGGGAAAAGCCTCGCAAGTGCTGTCCCCTTATGTGAGACCCAGCCGGCTCTGTGAACCTCTGGTGTCCGGGGTTTCCTAGCTGAGCTCTAAGCAAACCCTGCCCCTCCCGGGGTCCGGGAATCACAACGGAGCAAATCCTCGCAGCTGCACTTGTACCCCTGTGCATGGACAGGTCTCTGGTTTGTCTTTCGCTGCTCGCACACCTCCTAATTTGCAGAGCTCATCTGTGCATTGCTAAAGTGAATTGGCCTGTCCGTATCCAACCAAGGAGGGATCAGCAAATCAGGATGGATTTCTTATTTTATAGTTGCCCCCAGTAGGATCCTGCAGTGGCTCTCGGTACTAGATATGCATGACTAAGATTGTTGCTGGGCAAAATTTAGATTCTTTTTTATTATTATATTCTAGGCAGTGTCTTTGTCTGCCCTTGTTATATGCAGCCGGCAGTAAGCCCTTTGCTGAAAGAGTTTTGTTTGACTTCTGAGATCCAAGGCTGATTGTTTTTTTTAAAAAATTAAGTGGCACGTTTTTTAAAAAACTTTTCTGCATATTTGGAGCATCCTTCCATCTCCACAGATGATTTGATTTTGAAAACATTGTTTGCCCATTGCTGTGTACGTGTGTTCCTCTACGTGCTTCAGATACACACTCCTACAGTTTTCTGCTTCCTAAGGGGGGAAAAACTACGGCGTACAGGAAACAAAAGACATCTTACTACATTCACATATCTCATTGAAGGGGGAAGTAGATTTGAGATTTCAGAAAGGATACAGATTCCGAAACGAAATCACAGCCGCAGGAAAACAGTGTGAGGTCTAGCTGATGTCGGGAAACAAAACAAAAAAAGAATCAGATGTCCCCTCAAACATTGTAACTTCCACCGTATCAACTTCAATCCCAGGAGGGCAAACGCTGCAGGAAAGCGGCCAGTAGCAAGTCTCCTCTGCGTCCTGTCGTCTCTGAGTTTAGGTTCAGAAGACTCGGTGGGCTGGCATGGAAGTTTGTGCAAGTAGGAAGGAGACACTTAAGTACCACCAGTTTCAGCAATAAAGAAGGATCGTTCTGTATTAGAAATTGTACTGTAGATAAATCATTCATGAGAATGTAAAAAAAAAAAAATGTTTGTCTTGTGACCTTGTGCTTTTGAAGTCAGCCAAAACCATGTAATTGACTTGCACAAAAGGAGGGTACACAGTGAACATGGAAACACAGACCTGATCAAACAGGAGCAGATTCCTCATGGTGCTTGTTTATTATATATATTTAATCCTGCTTGACACTTTACCCAAGGGAAATGGTCCCTTTTATCAGTTGAATGTTAGCAGCGTTATTTCAGAGTGTGGTGACTGGTTAGAGAAATTCATGTACTCAACCAATCACAGTTTCAAACAAAATTTTTATGTGCAAAGGACAGCAACCTTCTTGTATGTTCAACCACCAGTACGCTTTGTACATCTGTGATAACGCCTGTTTTATATTCAAATGAACAAATAAAAGCTTTTATTTTTGTTGCTCTGAAAATAGCAGTTTTTTTAATTGGTACCCCCGAGAAATGTCTTGGAGAGACACTTTCCACCCCAGGAAGGAGGTGACTCCTGCAGGGAAATGTATCCAACTGTGTTTACATAATTTGTTCCATAACTTAGTACAGATAATCATACTTTGAACGATGTTTAACTTTTGATGTGGGCATTTATTGCTAAAAATTCCTATGGCAACAAATGTTTTGTGAAATGTTTTTTAATTCTTTTAAATATATCTTAATATATTTGTTCACATTTTGCTGCAAGTGTACAGATTATTGATAACTTTTGGGGACAAATGGTAAAGCATGAATCCTGTGTGCAAATGCCTTCTATCAGCTGTATCTCAGGGGACCCTTGCGTGTCGGTAAGAGCTAGCAGTCGTGACTTAAATGCCCCAAATCGGCTTCATTTGTGTGATTGCCTAAAGCTTTGTCTTTTGCCCAGGATCTCAGAATTTTACTGCTTTGTTTTGAAAGCAGTGAAGTGACCTCGGCTTAGTAAATGCTGCTGCACGTGAACATCAGCAGAACTTGTGACAACGCAGATCCCCAGGGGTGGCCTGAGTACCTGTGTTTGCGGTACCTCCAGCTTTTGTCCAGGACACGACTATGTTGATGGGAGCAGGGTGATACTTTGAGTCTATGAAGGCAGGTAGCTGGTTTAAGACCCTGCCTGGTTGTATCAAATTAAACAATATTGCAAGGAAGTGACATTTCTCCCCTTGATGGCAGCACCAGCAGAGACGAGTCAGATGGAAGAAGGGTGACTAACAGCATCACTCCTGTAGGGTCCTCCGTTAGACTGCGTGCTCTCTCTCTCTCCTCTCTCTCTCCTCTCTCTCTCTCTCCCCC